CATCATCATCTCCTCCGCCTCCTCCTCTTCTTCTTCTTCTCTCGGCTATCATATTCTCACAAGCATGCCATATAACAGCATCATCAATCAGCTGTTTCCCTTGTGGTCTACCTTTTTATACTTTACTAGAAGTATTTCTTGAGGCTACTCTGACTTTTTGACTATGTTTAGATCCATTACCAATAGAGTTCCTAACAACTGCCTGTCCCTTTTAGTAGTCTTTCTGAGTCTATACGAAGCCCAAATACATCATCTTCATTCTTATAAACACCCTGCGGAAGTCCTTTTAATCCTCCAAACAGAAGAATTGATACACGTTTAAGTGGTCAAAAGAGAATCTGGAGGACACCTACAACACTATGTAACTGGAGTGCTACTGTTGTCTTTTTTTAGAACCACTGACATTCTACGTATAAATATTGAATTCCTGAAAAGAAAATATACGAGCAGAGTGCTAAACACTCCAAGCATTCAATAGTACTCCATGAACACTATAAGCACCAATAATTCCCATTCATCAGCCTTCCCAAAGAGTGAAAAACTGCTAAGTCAGTCCAAGGAGCAGTAGAGCAATTTTTTTAGCATTATTTTTTTTAGCATTATTATTACTACAGACACTCATCTCCTCCCTTTGCCAAGACACCACAGAATTTGGTCTTTCATATTAGTAATGCCAATGAACAACAGCCCTCACATAGAACTGGCAGAATACATTGACCGGTGATGTGTGTGTGGGGGGTGATACTCTGTATATAGGTTCTGGTTGGGTATACAACACTCTAGCACTAGATGGCTCTGCAGAGCCATCAAGGTCCAGAATGCCTTTTGAGATGCGTTGCAGAACAGATACTCTGGAAACGAGAGCTGGAAAGCCCAATCAGAAGGAACAATACTCCCAGGCTAGTCCAGGCACAAACCTCCAGGGAAGGGGGCCCAAGTGGTCAATACAAACCTTCCTACATTTTTAATCCTTTGTCTTACAATCTGTGATCAATTAAATTTGCAAGATTACAAGGGGCAGGGTCCTCCCTGGGTTTATGCTGTAGGTATGAAACACTCTCCACAAGGGGGTCTGCATAGTGTTTTCTCAGCATTTAATTTTCAAGTTTTAGGTTTAGTTTCAAGTTCATGTCTTCTTCAAGCTTTTATATTCTGTTTGATCCTATTAAGTATATGAGAAAGGGTTCAGTATTGCTGTGTGAATGTAACTGTATGACTTTGTAACCTTGGAAAGACACAGTAGAAACTTTAAAACAAATATGCATTCCTTGCACTAGATCTACTTCTAATCTCAAAAACCAGGAATTTTGACAGAAGGTCCAGTGAAGGACACTGCATCATCACTGCCCCATGTCTATACGGGAACACTAAAGCATTAAAATCCCTTCTTTAGATTTAATTCAACACAAATTGGTTTCTTGGACTCACTCAACTCTGATAACTTTTTATATTTATCACTGGATTTATATCCCGCCTTCCCCGAAAGTGCAGGTCACAACAGTCAAATAATAGTACAAATAAATATAGTTCATAACAGTTAGAAATTGAAAATCAACACAGAACAACACTGCCTCTGGTGCCCACCAATGCCTCCCACTGGCGCAGGGTATATGAGGACTAACAATAGAGCCCATTCAGCAGATGCCAGGACAGTTCTTGAGGGTAGTTCACCCAGGCAGTGTAGGCAGGGAAGGCCAACATAGTTAGGTGTCCACCCCTAAACCAAAGTCCTGGCGGAACGACTCCACTTTGCAGGTCCTGCGGAATTGTACTATATCCCACAGGACCCTGATATCAAGTGGGAGCATGTTCCACCAGGCTGGGGCCAGGACGGATCACGCCCTGGCCCTGACTGAGGTTAAGCGGCCATCACCAACCAGGATCAGTTAAAGAGATGAAACCTTATCCCATACACTGTGGTTCATTTGTATTATTACTGTGTTCTGGGGAGGTAGAACAGAGAATCAACCTTTTACTCATGAGGCCTTGAACTTCTCTGCCTGTAGCTTAATGTTTGGCTGCATACCATTTAACATGGGAAATCACAGCTCATCATTGCCCATGAATTCCAAGGGCTAATGTTATATTCAAATGGCTTTTTCAATAGCAGACTGCTTATTCAATAGCCGTGAATCCTCCCATACTCTGAAACATGGATGGAGAAATTCAGGTGTGGCCAACATCATGTGGCATTTAGCAGATAACATGCCAGACTAAACTTCGCAACACTGGTTCAAATTCCTGAAATGAGTGGAATCTTAAAATGCTCTTATTTGTACCTACAAGACACCTAGCTTTCCCTTCATGCCAGCAGTAAACTTAGCAACGCTGGTCACAGTTCCTTATATGAGTGAAAACTTAAAATTCCTTTATTTGTACCTACAAAACACCTAACTTTCCCCTCCCTTTTCTTAGCTTTCCCATTTTGTTAATGTCTGCCCGCTGACAGACTGATTGAAAGTTTAAAATGGACAAAAACAGTGAGATAATACTTTGTGGCACAGGGTAAACAAGAGGAAGGTTTTCTGTCTCATGAGAAACCTACCCAAGTAAGGTAAATAGAAAGCAAGAAAACATATGACCAAGAATACTAAGACTGTGGGACTATAAAGAAGCAGAAGTACAACCAACCAGCCATTCTCTTCTTCTGTCCTTACCCTCCTATATTCAAAGAGAAAAAGGAGACTGACACAATTCTAGTCACAATCAGAGTGGAAGATTGGTTTAGCTAATTTCTCCTTGCCTGAACCCAAGTATCTGAGAATACAAAATGTAGTAACAATGATACTTCCCTGATAGAGCTCAACAATGCAGAATTCAAAAAGCTGTTAAAAGGAAGATTTGAAAGTCATCTGAACAAAGACAGCTGCTGAAACTATAACGGCAACTGTGAGTACAAGAAGAGAAAGATAAGCCCAAGCATAGCCATTTCACTCGAAAGACAATTAAGACTTGGATGACAACAAAAAATGAAAATGTGGGGAAACTTCTACACAAAGCAGGCAACAGAACAGATAACGCTTATTCATGAAGCGAATGCAAGAGCAGTTAATGGAGAAGGCAAAGAAGACAATGAGGCAAGGGTGCAGTCTGAACAACTCAGGCAAGTTGGATCTCTCAAAACCTGTCTCAGAGGACTCCGTTCACCTTCCTCTGCCTTTATTTTGTATCAAACATGTCAAGGCCATATTTACATGGCAAGTGTCCAAACCTTCTGCAGAAGGTAGCACTGTTCTCCTTTCCCCTATATGACCACAAAGTGTGTTGGATTTAACACGTTTTTCTCTATATATACACCGCGTGATCTGCACTGTTATCAGCAGTACAGGTTAGGAATATCCTTTCCATACCAATGTCAATCAGGGATTAATAGCATGCAACACAAAGCCAGCCCCAAGAATCCCTGAGTTGAAAAGCAGAGATGAACTGGAGGTTGTAATCAATAGAGCAGCAAAAATGCTGCTAAGGGCAGAGGGAAAGCTCAGGTCAACATCAGCTAAGTATATAAAGATGCTTCCCATACATTATGATACACAGCGTGCCCATATTCAATGCTCAGATCATGCTAACCGTATGTTAGGAGATGTGGGAAATTAACATGAAGAAACCCCAGTTTAGAATATTTGCAAGAATTGCCACTTCTAGGTTGACAACGTATGAAAAGCCATTTTAAGTAGGCAGGTATTAAGGAACTGGAATGGCCAAATGTGGCAGAGACATAATGCCACACAACTGTTTTGCATCATACTGTATTATATGACCATAGAAAGTTTAAGGGATGTGTTAAGCTGCCCATGTTTCATCTCTTTATCTTTACATCAAGCAAGCATAGTCCACCTTTTGTTGAAGTGCCTGTTAGAGAAGAAAGCAGTACCTGCAAATCATATCTTTATTCCTGGCTTCCCCAGCTGTCCCAAGCACTGCACACTGGGGCTGCCTGCAGCAAGCTTTATTTTCAAAAAAAGTATTGCTTTTTCCCTCGGGATAAAATTAGGTCGTCTGCCACCCTTGAATCTTCCTTGAGGATTTGATCAACATGGGAGCAGTTTCACTTCTGAACTAGTTGTTCCCCTAGACTGGCCCCACTACTAGCCCAGGCTGCCCATGGCCAGCCCCTCTACTGTCTTCTTTAAATATGCATGTGTACAGAGTTCGCCCTTCCATTTCTCTCTGATGGAGCTGTCCAGTTCAGCACCATGCCCCTTGTATATGTTTGAAACTCTGGCAGCAGGCTCTCAGGTAAAGAGATCGGGTTTTTAAAAGCTTTACTGGAGTCTCAGTCTCCAGAGGTCAGGTTTTTAAAAGCTTTACTGAATGAACATATATTCTAGAAAACAAAGATACTTGAGAATAATCAACCCTCCTTCCTGAAATGTAGCTTGGTATCTTATTGCCAAATTCAGAAAGATAAGCCCATGTCATTCTAAAATCATATTCATTCATCCATAACAGAAGATACCTGTCAAGCTCATTCGTAAGCCTCAATGTTATTCCAACTCTGAAGTCACAAGCAGGAAGAAGACATGCTTGGAATCCACCTAAGCTCATTTGCAGGAACCAGATAATAAGTGTTCATATAGAAACCTGCTTGCAGCTTACTCATCAGCAGTTCTCACTTTTTCAATTTTGTATCTTACAGACCGTCAAAGGTAAGTAATTTAGCCAAGCATTTCACCTCAGAGTTCAAAAACATCCATCCAGATTTTTTTACAAAAGGAGATTTTTATGCAATTGCTCTAATCACAAGAATACCCACCAAAGAAAGAAGGTTTTGACCAGTAACGGATAGGATCAGAATAAAAGCTGCAATTTTTCATTGTCTGAAAGTATCTATTTTTTTAAAGGCTTACTGCTTTACAGGAATGCATATCAATAATATTCCAAGAGAACAGAAGAAGTATATTTTTTCCTATGTGTGGCATTTTGACTTGGACCTGATAATCCTGTAATACCACAAATAATCAGCTGAGATTTCCTTGGATAACAATTTCCCAACTCACCTGACTGGATTGCTTGTTAGAGACACTCTCAAGGACTCTAAGCAATTGAGAAGTTTTTCCTCTGAGATACCTGACCGTAATTCATGGACGTATTCTTGGGATGACAGAGTGCACTCATGTTTACTGTTTTTCAGTCCTCCCTTAACAGGAAAAAAAGGAATGTGTTACTTCTTAAAATTCAACAAAAAAGAACAAAAGTCACTCATTTGATTAACACATTAGAATAAAAACTAGACTCTCCCCCTTTCATATCCAACGTCCCCTCCTACCAGCTGGTTCTTGCAAGCCCATTAAAGCTAGAGCCTGTGTCACCACCTTGTGTATTTATCAGAGGAAATTATGGCCGCAGTCCAACAGTTCAGTGTGTTCTTTATTTATTTATTTATTTATTTATTTGATTGATTGATTGATTGAATTATTTGTACCCCGCCCTCCCCACCGGGGCAGGCTCAGGGCGACTTACATAAATAGCAGCTGATAAAACGACAATTTAAATAACAGCACACAAACAACTTCAGTGAGTGAGCTTAACTCTTTATTGGATTGTGGCCCATCATCTCAGTATCTTGAATCCATTTACCAAAACAGCAGAATTTCATTTTCAAGCTATCATTACATTTACTACTACCGGAAATAACACTAACATGCTTAGAACATGTATTTGTATATGTGGGGACTGTAAGCAATGGCACGCTTAAATGCCTAACCAAAGCTGTTCAGCCTGTCAACAATAACGACTGGCTATCACTATCTGCTGTAATACTAAACTCTCTACTTTGAGATACAATCATAAGTCAATTGGAAAGTGATCTGTTTTTGTTTTTAATTTATCCTTACAAGTACTTCAAATCGTGTTTACCTACTTTGATCAATACCCATCACTCAAATTTACCCAGAAGATATTGGCTTCCTTTATAGCCTCTGCCCAGCCCACCTCTAATCTTAGGCCAACTATAATTTGGATGAGTATGAATGAAAATGAATGTCACAGTTCAGAATTTCATAATGTTATAAGGGAGGCTTAAGATGCTCAAACTGTCACAGCTGCCCAAATGAGTATCAATTTGTTCAGTAGCACACATCAATTGTTGGACAAGTAAAGGGGGGAGACTAATGAATTTTGGAACACTGTATTTCTTCTTAAACCACATATAATAATGCTTCAGGAGAGCCAGAATCTTCAAAAGCAGTAAAAGATGTGTGTGAATTTAGTAACCCAAATTACTATGAAAATGAGGAAAGCCACTGTTGATTCCAAGTACGTTTTTCAAATTAGTTAACATTGGCCCCACGGGAATGATGAGCAAACATCCTCTACAATGCTGGTTCTCTATTACAAGAAAAGTAAGAAAAGCAAAAATACTTGCTTAATGTGTGGTCACATGTACACATTTAACCTCTGTTAATACTTTACATTTTTATATCTTTATTGATCATAAGGGCCAGAATTCTGCAAATATACTCAACCAATAACAAAGCACAAAAATCACCAAGCTGTACTAATTAGTGCTGAAAGAGCAACTTGTTTTTCATGCCAATATAAACGACCTTCAGCATCTTCTTTTACTGTATCTCTGGATAGTTACTACCTAACCTCTAAGATCAATTAATGTAATCAATATAAGGTATTCATGTCCTTGTCCACTACACTGATATACAAGTCCCTTTTAGGACCAATGAAGTTTAACATCTTACTACGTTAATTTATATAGCACATGCAACAGCACATAGGACATGTAATATTTTGACAGCTACTTAAGTCCAAATTGTATTTGAGACAAGTACTCTTAGCAAATGTCTAGCCAAACATGGTTAACACAGTGATGGGCTTATAAAGAATGGAGAATGATTAAAATATGCTTAATTCTCTGTGGGAAAAATACTTTTAAAAAGTCCCTAACAGCTAAAAAATTGTCAATAGACAAATGTAATCAAAATATTTATTAAAGCATTTGGTTTTCATGCCTATCCCTTAACAATTTTGTCTCCAGTGAAACAAAGTGTCAAGAAAAGTATACACAAAAGAGAAAGGGGGCTTCACAGTTTAAAAAAAAACTGTCCTCCAGCAGCATAATTAGGAGGGTTAAGTTGCACTACATTGACTGCCTTCTTGACTAAAATAAGAGTTCACTGCCAGACTGGAGCAATAAAGAAACAATAATAAGGACTGTAGGAAGGGGTTGTGAGCACCTCTCTCCTGAATACATCATTATTTGCTTATCTGAGTACCTATCCCTTCCCTGTCCAATCTTCCAGAATGTCACTAAAGAATCAAAGTACACACTAAAATCACAGAAAGCAGTAAAAAAGCAGCAGAGGCCATACAAACCAGAACCAAAAAAGAACAGCAAAAGTTCAAATCAAACCAGTCACAACATCCCACCATCATTGTTACACAGTTGCACTGGCAAGGGATCAAAACAGGCCTCCTTCAGGAGAGAGGTGTGCTTTTTCAGTGCTACTGCAGACAAGGCCACATCCAAGGGAACCAGCCCACTGCATTTCACACAATGGGTGCACTGAATACAGGGCCTCTAAAAAAATATGATTTTATCGGTATACTTCCCAGCATTCCTTTCCCCAACACCTAGAGCAGTAAACTTGAAATGTTCAGTGCAAACATCTTAAGAGCAACAAGAGACTTGGATTGAAGTTTCAACTCTAATCTTCAAGTACTGCTATGTGAATATCTTTTTGTACTAACTTTATTGCCATTTTTATTCCCATACTATGATGTATCTATAACAAAATTCCTCTCAACACCACTGCTTTGCACTGCTGAAGTAACATCATATCATCTCAGAAAGTAGTTTAAGAGGCAAGGTCAAAGTGAAAATGGAACACAAGGAGGTTTAAAAAGAAGAAGAAAAGAAGTGAACTAAGGAAAACATTCAGGCTTCCAGAGCTTCTAAACTAAAAGAAAATACCACAAATAAAAACAGCACAAAATGGCTCACAGAGATGGAACACATCAGAAAACAAGTTGAAATGGTGGCTGAAGGACTCACCAAACAACTTTTTTAAACTAAGAGCTAGAAAAGAAATTTAAGAGCAAGAGTCAAAACACTAAGGTGGAAAAACAAGGCATTTCCAATTCTCAACCTCAGGGATAACAAAACAAGAAAACAAAAAAACACAGAAGAATCAAGAGGTAATAGCTATAAGTCTTATGAGTCCAACATCCACAAGTAAAAAACATCTTCTCCAGGAATAGTTGCAAACCTAATTTAAACCCAAGACACTACCTTACATCAAATATTTATATATCTGTAATCATAGAAGAATTTTTTACCTTTTAAGATATAATGCCTTACCCTCAGCTATATTGGAGGCCAGATTTACTAGATCACTGAGGAATGTGGGATGGAAACTGATGAAACATTGGAACATGTAATTTTTTATTGTAATTTATATCATAACACTAGGGAATATCTGATTAAGCCTATTGTTAACTCCTACCCAGGTCGCAATAGAAGGATACTTTTGTCAATTATGCTGGCGGGTAATAATCGGAAGATGACTAGGATAGTTGTCAAATTTGGTTGGTTGGCATACCGAACTAGGAAAGAGATAAAGAAGTACAGATAAGATCAAAGATTAAAAATCTAGGCTTAATATTAATTTTTACCATTTCTGTATTTTAAACTTTTAAATTCCTATTTATAATTTTAGAAGTTATTAAATTTTATAATTTTACTATTCTTTTACCTATTATTTACTTGCCTTTTATTGTATTGTTTGCTGGTCTATGACTGTAATAAATTGATTAATTGAACCAAGACACTTGTCTTCACTATACAGTGCAGTGTAAGTAGATGAATGTTATGGTTCTGAAAAGGACCCAAGAGTGAGTACAGTTTACCCCTCCCTCTTCACCAGGAACTCATCCTTGTCTACAAACTCAAACTAACATGAGATCATCTAGTTATACCATTTTGAAAATAAAACAGACCTTTTTTTCCCTTTAATGACCCATGAGATTATATAAAATAGTGATTAAGGAAGAAAGACAATGTTACGAGTTTATACCAGGCTAGGCCCAAGGAAGAAACACTTGGGTCCTGGGTCTGAATTCTATGGAAGATTATTTACAGCTTAATTTTTAAAAAATGTTAAAAGCTGGTGAAATGAATAGAGCCACTCACAGATTGATTTAATCACATACAATTTAAATGTGGACCTTGTTCAAACAACTCATTAATGGAAATCTTCCAAGCTTACAAGATAATTCTCTTTAAAATAATGCAAAATCAGGTTTACTTGACTGTCTTGGAAATAAAGCATATCCCTGCGCAACAGCTGAACTGGCGTACATTTGGCAATTTTAACAGTACAATCTGCTAGAATTCTGCACATACTCATACCAGGCAATGCAAATGTTCATTTAGATCACTTAGGTAAGAAGTGCTTCTTCTACTAAGACTGCCTGGATTCAGGAATGAGCTGGTTAAAATGTTGAGTAGCTTATAATGAGTCAACACCATCATAATTACTTTTCATCTTATTCAGTCAAATGCTAGACTGCTTCATTTCTTTTCATTAAAGAACTGCCACCCTGAAAACATTTGCACTATTTTGCCTCAAGAAAATTATTTTTCAATTTGTTTCCCAAAGAACTAATAGGTGCACTTCTCTTTTAAATAGCTGTAAACACTGACAGTTTAGTGAAATTCTACTTTAGCACTGAGTTAATGCATATTTTAATGCATGTAGTACTTAGCATTTATACAGGGGTTTTCAACTGTTCATAATGCTTCACATAAATTATCAGCAAACCTTCCAAAAGCCTTGTAAGAAGGATCCAATTTATTGTCTTTGTAATATGCACTGGTAGCAAAGAGATCATGGCTTACCTTAAGGGCATGTAAGGGAAATTTGAACTGGAGATTTCTTAACTCAAAGCATATCCTTTCAGCCATAGCATTATACCAGCTCTCATAAACATGCACTGCATTATTCAGAAAAAATATTAGTCTTCTCATATGCATAATTTGATATCTATTTCAGATTTTCCCCCCTCTTGATATAATTTAGAATTTAAAAGTTAACACAGCAAAAATGTTATTGGAGAATTTAAAAGTCTGCTCACTCTCCTCCCTCTCACCCAACCTGCTTCACAAGGATGGTGTGAAGATAAATG